AGAGATATGCGAATGAGCGCTGTTGTTAAGAAACTGGTTAATAACATATTATTTTTGTATACTTTTACAACGAATCCAGCTGTTCCAGATAAGGACTGATAAATGATATCTGCTACAATGGTAACCAAGTCGAATAAGTGTATGTAAGAGCTCGAGGAGCTGATAAGTAAGATTCTAGAATTGTTGTTTCTAAACGATGCGATTCTTTTTGTGAAAATTTCTTGGAAAATCTTGTGATTTTAAAATAATTCATTATTTTGGTTCTGAGGTAGCCTAGGTAGGGGTAGCACAACCACATAAATTGAAAAAATAACACTGGGGTAAACCCAATATTATCACGTGATATTCATGTTTTATGTTTTATTAATCATAATTCTTTATTGCACAGACTGGCACGTTAAGTTTCTAAATTTATTTATTGTACAGGGAAAATAGATATTTCCTTCCCATCTATTGTTTGCTACATACCTAACCGTTTGTAGGACAATCGGAACTTTATACATATGCGTACACTGCCGCAATCATAGCGTCTTGTCCCGATTTCGTCACACAAATTTTATACGCTGATAAAAATTTCATCTTGGATTGATTGACTCTAATATGTATTTGACCTTAGGTCACTTGTATATGTACTTATTCGACTGACAGAAATTATAATCTTTAAGAATGGATTTTAGATTGATTTGTCCAAGGTCTTTTATATCTTTTTTCAGGCCTTTGTATACCTAAAATATAATAATATTACCTCTAATCCAGCTAAAAGGTTTGATAAAGCCTGTCCATAAGTGTCGTGGAAGTGTAAAGCTAGTTGTTCAGGCTTTGCAACAGTTAGAACTTCTCGCATCAGTCGTTTCACCGATCCCGCTGTTCCCACGCCAATGGTGTCCCCCAAGGAGACTTCATAGCACCCCATCTCGAACAACTGTTCTGTTATCTGTAGCGATCATACAATTTGAAATCTCAAATACGGTTGGTAAACACTATGTATGTTTACGAGCTTATGTTAGCAAGTCGTTATTAACATTAACACACACCGTCTAACCCCTTTTGGCGATGTATTGTGTCCATAAACACGAACGTAATAAAAATATCTATTCTCAGAATACAAAATGTTTACCCAGACTAAGGTGTCAGATATTATACATAGTGCTCGTTCGATAAGGACTATTAGTATACCAGTAAATTATTGATACCAGCTGGCTGTTTATTTATGAAATTTACGTATGATGCAAAAAAAAATGTTTATATTAACAACGAAAAAGTTGATGATTTTTATACACATCGTATTAAAACTGCAAAACAAGACACCAGAATATTTAGACTATAGGATACTACAATTGGATTTTATTTTAAGATGCAATGAATCATCGTTTATAATTCTTATATGATATATCTAAGTTAAGATATGTTAACGACAAGAAAACAATAGAATCGAATTAATGAATAGATAGTGAATTACCTTCGCGATGCCTTTCGGATGTATGGGACCTTCATAGGGACAGCCAACAACGCAAGAGACATAGCCTCTCACTCTGATGCCATCTTTTACAGCTTGATCAGCCACCAATTTGAACCTTTTCAAGCCTTCTTCGACAGAACAGTTTAAATTCTTTTGAGAAAACGCTTCTGATCCAGCTGGGAATATTGCCACTTCTTCGATGTTGCATTGTTTCTGTTTAAAGAAGATAAAATTTTGTAAGCAATGACAAGAAGACGGGCAAGTTAAACTATTAATAACGTAAATCAACACTGCAACCAATTACAAGAAAGAATATAAAATCTTACGGCAATTTCGTATCCTTTCAAATTAGGGACAAGGACTGGGTAGTTTACGCCTGGTACTCTTGGAATGTTCTTCATAACGTCCACACCGTCGCTCATTTGTTTCACCCATTTCGGACTAACGAAACTGTTGACAAAGATGAGAATTAGATAAATACATATTTAAAGCATTAGACATTAAAGACCATAGGTACTTAGGTATACATTACCTACACACTTACATATTTATACTTATAGCAATAAATCAAGTTTTGTACTTATTCTATAATAATCTTATAGGTACAGATTACCGCCAATGTAATAAATGTGATCGATATTTTTGATCGGCTGTATAAGAGCTGGAATGAGAATCAACGTTAATTGGCTGCTAATGATTGAAATCGTGGAATTTTCTTTAACCCAATGCCTTTAGTGATTACGCGACAAGCGCGAAATGTTGTTGCTGTGCTATGACGGTGAATGTGTTTAAACAATGAGAATTTTTATAATGCAATCGCAACACGACGCCGCCGCGCGGTCGTGCCGCGAAAAAATAAGTAAGTCACCTAAGCACCTACCTAATTACCTATGTGACTTTGTAATTAGATTAGACACTTCAGAAAACTAATTTAATACTGACATTTCAGAAGAGTTAATTTAATCTGCTTCTATAGTGGATCTGTTGCATTTCTTTGATTACATTAGCTTTGGTATCTTATTGAAAGAATAAGTGAAGTGAAAGCCACTTTATTTTTCATAGTCCTTTCGGAACTAGATTAGGGATTAGGGTTGGCTGAGTCTTAACCGCTTTGGTGCTATCTTTACTGACCTTCACAACTCACTCACATGTTGATTAAAAGGTATATCACAATCACAATTATTGTTAGTAGGTATCGGATTTTTGTGACCTCTGTCTAGCAAAAAAGACTTCATGTAGTTGGTTGATAGTCATAAATGTAATTTTTTTTATTGTATAGCAGACAGATTACCCGATGGTAAGCAATCAGCGCCGCCCATAGACCCCCTCAACATCAAAAGAGTTGTTGCCATTGCGTTGCCGGCCTTTTAGGGCTAAAGGTTTAGGATATTTAAGGATGGGGAAGGGCTGGGGGAGGGGGAGGGATTGGGCCTCCGGTAACCTCAATCACACGGCGAAACACAACGCTGTGGTTGTTTCACGCCGGTTTTCTGTGAGGCCGTGCTGCCACTCCAGTCGAGCCGACCCATTCGTGCCGAAGCTTGACGCTCCCACACTTTGTTATAATGTAATTAGGATAGAGAGCTTTTTTTCTTCATATAGTCAAAACTTTCGCGTGATTGGAGATTCGCGTTTTATCTTAGTATTGTTTTCTTGTACTACGAAATTTATAAATAACTATGCCATATCATATGCATATCTTTTTATGTACTTAAAACATTGCAAACCATCAGATGGATTACCTGATAGTAAGAATTCGGATACATTGGACACCCAAATCACCAGAGGAGTAACAAGTGCGTCGCCAGACATTTGAGGCATAGGGTGTCGGAGATTTAGGGATTAAGGATGGATGGAGGGTGGGGAAGGATTAGGCCGGTAAGTTTATAGTCACATGGCAAAACATACGGCCTCATAGAAAACTGGCGTGAAACACACGCCTCACAGAAAACTGGCGCGTTTCTGTGAGGCCGTGGTACCACTCCTGTGGAGTTTCCATTCGTACCGAAGCATGGTGTTGCCACATTTAACTTTTCAATTGTGGTAATTAGAGAGATAATATAAGAACAATAGGTGTGTGAACCAATGTTTGCTTGGTGAATTAAATCCTTATTTTTATCCACCTTATTTGAAATTTGGATTTCAATCAACCTTCATCAATGAGGAACACTACTGTGTGCAAAAGAATTTAATGCATAATTAGCAAAAAATGGTCCACTTTGTTAAATAACTATGGCCAGAATTTAAGGACCTTTGTAGAATTCCTTTAAATTGTTAAAAAATAAATTAATCCTTTATTACAGATTATTAAGAATTTTATTCTTCTTTTTAAAAAAAATAGATTTTGCATCCAATGAGTATTGTGAACATAACAAACATGTAAACATATTATCAGTAAACTTAATGCTAGTGTGCCTTTAATAACTATAAAAGATGAATAGTACCTAGTGGTAGAGATACACATTAATCAGAGAATTACAGTAATTATTGTTGTTGTGTCTCTCACCACCATTCTATGTATAAGCACCGGAAAAGTGAATGCAGCAATTGGTTCATAGAAATTATTTTCTATATTTCAAATTTACCTGGTTGATGTTTCAATAGCTTAACTGGATAATTTTACATTATATCCTATTTCTAACATGTGACAGGCCCTAAATTTAGCATAATCTAATAAGAAAATCTACCATTAGTTGGATATAAATGTTATTACACTTTGTACAAAGATGAGACAAATAAGATTCAATTTAGTCAAACATACCTTGCAGATTCAATGTCTTTTATTCCTGCAGCTGCCAGTTTATTAATAAGTTCTATTTTAATATCTGTAGGAACGAATTTAGCCTCATTTTGGAGACCATCTCTTGGACCCACTTCATAAATCCTAATCTGAGATACGGCTGTACTCTGTGAACATTAAAAAAATAATTTGTAAACATTTAACGATTATGTTAACGTTAAACATAAGATTCGGCTAAATCTAATTCAAGTAATATATTTGTTCAAATTATATTTTACAATTTTAATCACATTTTTATCATAAATAATATATTTTTAATAGGAACAACTAAATGTACTTACAAGAGAACGATGTGTGGACTTATTCAGTATTTTCAAACTAATTGTTTTTGTAATATGTGCCATTTTTATACGTTTACGTAACTTTAATTAATTCCTGCAAGTTTGTATAGTCATCTACTAGTGTTCTGTTATCAATCATTATCAAAAAGTTGGAATGTCAAGCAATATTTTCTTGTTTATTATTACTTTTTATCACTTCACATAGTTTGACTTTTGATAACAAGTTCCAACTGTCATAATGATAACGATGCGCGATGTGGGAAAAAGATATGAGAAATTCAACATAGTATGAATTATAAAATATCCTTAGTTTGTTGAGTAAAAAAATTTTATATTTATTTTCAAATACTCGTATTCAAATGTTTAGTAATTTTTTTTTGTAATATTTGGATACAAAAAATGTGGCAGTTGCTTTGCTTAGCTGTCACTGTCATTGTCAAACTATAACACTGAGTTGGTTATTTCATTGCGGCGTTTCTTGTTGCCGATATCTATCTTGAAATACATTGATTATTTATAAATCTTTACAATGGGTTGAGTATTCAAGTTTTTAACACTGCATTTATTTGCCCTTACTAATCGTAAAATGTATAATTTAACTTTCGTTTTGTTCATTTCAGCCGTGAACAGTGCCACGTCTTTCGTGTTATCATCAATTTTGACTCTCCTAATATTTTCGGGGATGCAGATGTATAAGCCGATCTTGGTAAGGTCACCAGTGACTATAATTTTCGGTGGCTACCTCGGTTCATTGATGTTCATGTTCTTCGTAACTGTATCCTTTTCTAAACAAATGCTTGAACTATGTTGACTGTTTATCTAATTAGCTTCTTGTACTATTTGTCTAGTAAGACTTTTTTATAGGAATTTTTAATCATAATGAAGTAAGTATTCGAACTTGTTTGGTACGGAAAGTTGTGTTAGTTAATATAAGTAACATTTCTGAGTTAAGACATGTTTAAACATATAAAAGCACAATTTAGAGAGAATTTTATACATCTATATTCTAAGGATTATTGTAAACGTAACATCAGTTTGTTTACATTCATTAGTAAATGTGACTGCACTTATAAATTAATTTCCTTAGCAGAATAACACAGGCCATTGGTAACTTAGAAGCAACATTGTTTGGCAAGAACTTTCAGTTGAAGTTACCAGAAGTAGTTATTTCCATGGCTATTTCGTTGATAGCAGCTGGTATGGTACACAGAATCTGCTTCACTACATGGTAATCTTTGTTTTATTTACCAAAAATAATTCTTGCATGCTAACAAAAGTAATAAAATATTGCATTAATAGAAACTTCAGGATTATACACAACAAGTAGTAGCATTCAGTAATTCATCAGTTAATTAATTATAGTAAAAAAGTATGATGTTGTAAAAACATTGCTTGGATGACCTCAAGTGATTACCCATCCAATAAAATGAACGGGCTGACCCTGATGTGCAACAAAAATAACTAATTAATTGCTGAATGCAATGTCATATACAGTGATTGGTTAAAATTATAAAAATTTTGAGGAATGAGCTGTTGTGTATTGATCGAACACCAGTTATTCAGTAAATGGGTGATTCTCCAAAAAACCTTAACTTTTATTTAACAAGTCATTATCCTCCCAGGTTTTTAAGCATCTTAGTAATTTATTTTATACAATATTTTTAATCGGTTGCTTGTAAGCAGTGGTGAGATTTAATTTAATAAAATAATTATCTGTGTTTTAATCAGCAGACTCGTTAATTTGAGGATAATGACATTATTAAATTTTTTTTAATTGATGTGAAGAATCACCCAAATACTAAATATATTTTGGGTATTCATACCTACACAGACTTATTCTAGTTATTGACCATATATATATCATTTTTGTCAGATGTGTGACAATGTGGAATTAACATTATGATATAAATATATCTGAACTTATATCATCTATGATAAAATCAGGTAAATTGGCATGAGATTTACTTGTTGCTTGGATTGCATTATTTCCTATAGGCTTCCTCAATAAATGGACTATGCAACATAAGTAGTATTTAAAAAGACTTGCTCAATTTGAAGCAGTAGTTTTGGAGATAAGCACAGTTTAACAATCATTAGCTTTGTGACATAACTAGTGGTCCACTCCTGCATTGCCAATTACAGAATTCTTATTTTTAAATTCCATTCGAACCTCTTTCTTAACAAACAAATCAAAAATATTAAGAAATTTAAGAATTGGCAAAATTGGTCCAGGTCTTGTTGTGTTATAAGTATATAGGTAAGTAAGCAATTTACGAAAGTTGAACAATATTATAATAAAATATATATTTTTTTTCAGTTTGATATTCTCTCTCATCACAATCTATTACATGAACAAGTTATCACAAAAGACTTATGCAGCATCAGCACCTGTTGCAGTCCCCACCAAAAGTCGACGCCACAAATGAATTGTTAATTATAGGTGATTTTTTATATACTCTCTAATTAAAATCATTTCATAAAATATTAACTGTTGTTTTATTTTCTTATTAACTAAATTGACTGTTTTATCCTAGAAGTTTTTACCCGACTACGGCGAAGCAAAAGGAGGGTTATGATTTTGACAGGCTATGTATGTAGGTATGTAGGCATGTTCATCTGTTCCCTCGTAACTTCTAAACTACTAATCAGAATTCGAACAAAATACATATCATAAGAAACGTCTTAATTGTCCGCTGAAAATCTTGTTCAATACTTTTTCATCGTCGTTTTTTGTCGTAGTTAGGTTTTAGTTTTTTAACTTTTTATATGTCTAATTGGCGGTATAAATGGCGTAGATATTTTTTAAACGTTATGTGTTAGATAAGTTAACAAAAACTGAATCAGACATTGTGGATAAGATTGTAAATGTGTCTGAAAATATATGTAAGTATGGTTAGAAAAGCTTTTTTGCAAGTATATTATTTCTTCCATAATAAAATAAAATTAATATGTAAAGTCGACGGGAAAGTTGGGATGGAGAGCTAACGTTTATAGGGTTTGTTAATGTAATACACACATTAAGCATAAGGCGAAATAATTATCTATTGGTTAAACAGGAGCTCACACTACATTAGCGCCACCTGGTGAGCAAATCACAAACACACAGACTTCAACGCACCTGCGCAATAGGGAATGCTAATGACATAAATAATAGGTACTTACAATTAGAAAAAAAGGTTTATTGAAAAAATCAGACAAATGTATACACTTTTATCGTATGGTACAAACTTACTTTCCTCTTAACTTTGTTTTAATAAAATTAACTTAAGAGTTAGTAGTTTTACCTAATTAGAAAAATAATTTATCTATTCAATATACATAATTAAATAAATAAATCTAATAATAATCGTTAAACAAGTATTTCAATAATACATAAGGCCTTAATTTCTTATCCAATAATTGCTTCACTTTTCGTTTTATAAATATAATCTACTGTTAATTTGTTCCGTTTGCTTCTTGAACAAATATCACATTATTTTATAATGGAAGAATGTTAAAAACATTTTAATAACCAACTTCTATTCTATTTACTTACCTACTTTAAAATAGATAAGTCTATGACACAATTAAAATAAAATTATAAATGTTAAACAATCCTCAGATCCCGATGAATCAAATATAAGTATTTGTTACAAGTATGTTTATGTTAATAAGTAATACTTCAATGTTAGTTAAACATAAAATGTATAGATATCAACAAAAACAAATCTACCAACTAAGTTTTAATTATTGCACCAAGGCATTTCTTACAAAATTAGCTTCGATTTACGTAAATTACATGAAAATATTATATGATTTGCACTAAAAAATACTTTATATGCATGTTAACACTACTATAATATGAAAATATTTTTAGACTACGAAATAAATAATGTACAACCTCATGGAATTGAACTTGGATGGATTCTTTAGGTACATAGTTTTGAGTCTTGTTAGGTTTGTTAATCTTTGAGCTATCTATGTCTTCACATTCAATGCCTTAGTCATTCTTTTATTATACACAATCATGACTCATGTAACATGTGTCATGACGATTGTAGGATAGATTACCCATAGTGTGAACAAGCAATAAGCATTATTTTGAGGATGAGATAGCTATGACCAAAATAAGTTAAAAATTACCTACTTTCATATCATTCCCACCAATATTTTTGATAAATTTTAAATGAATAGAAAGCACAATCGTTTTAGTATTTGATCAGCTTTCCTATGAAAATGGTAATGATTTTTTTGGTAAATGTAAGTACTATAAAGGAGTTTTTTTCTGAGTTTGGCACCAAGTTTAGTCAACCAGTTTTTGTAAGAAAATGAGAAGTATATTTTTACAAAATTAATGGCAGTTTGAATTTTTTCAATCTAAGTAGTATTTGACTCTATAAAAATAATTTTAAACAAATTAGGTACTTGAATAACATCTAAAATAACTAGTAGCATGTTTGTAACATTGTCTTATCAAGACGTGATTATCATCTTTATTCCCTGAGATTGGAAAAAAAACAGATAAGATATGAAACATGCAAAATTTCAAAAATATGAATCCAAATAAACCAAATTATAATATCTATCACAGACTTTTCAAATACATAAGGCACTAAGTTTGTATGTGAATAGATCTTTAGAGAAGTGAAAATTGACTTGACAGACATGTAGATCATTGAACTTCATTCATACTTACAACTCTGCACTAATTTTAATAGATAAGTGTCACTAGTGATTACCTAATACTTCACTGGAAAAACAATTATTTCAATCATATCTTGTTCAACATAAATAATATTATATAGCAACCTAAACAATGCTCAAAGAAAATTTCTTTAAACAATGATTATTACACAAACATTGAATACAATGAGGCATGCCATATATTTATTTATCTTTGCAATCATGCAATTGATAATTTTATAGATTTTTTAGGTAATTACGTAAAAAATTACTTGTTTCTAATATGCATGCTGTTATTTCTAGTGTAAGGGTTTTGTAAAATTCTTGGTGTAGTCTCCATTACTCTAAGAAGCAGCTCATCTAAATAGTTTTCGAGATCTTTATTTTTCTTTTTCTCTTGTTCAACATCTTTTTGCAAGTTATAAACCATGACCATTAGGTCTTCTCGAGATTTGCCATCGAAATCCTTAACAATAGACTTAGGAATGTTATTGAATGCAGGGTTAATAGAATCTTCCTCTGCAATATTCTCTTCACCAACAATTATACGCTCTTCCAACAATTTCTTCTGTTTGTTATTATTACCAAACTTCTTGAAGAACTTTGGACTGGGCCTCTCTTTTAAAGAACTTGGACTATCGAGTTTCTTGTTCCTTTCTAGACTCGAAGACTTTTCTCTATCAATAGCTAATTGACTGTTTGATTTTCGCTTGGAATATAGTTTCTGTGACCATTCATCATTATTGTCAATAACCTGTGCCGGTAGTTGTGGAGGTGTGAATGTGTCCAGGCTCAGGCGCACAGGCTTCTGTGGGGCTTGCTTTTCTGGTGCTGCCAAGTTGCTACTAGTGGATCTTCTCAGGAACTCTCCGCCTCCTAGATTTTCCAATGAAGCATTCACAGGTGAAGGAGTATATTTATGACCCCGAGGTAAAGTTTGAACATTAAGAGAGCTTCCAGAGCTTTTATGGGACAAATCATCAAAAGCAAATTCATCATCATCCTCACTAATGACACCGGGGTCTGCTTCTCCTGGTACACGTTTAGGGGTGGAATGTTCAGGTGTAGAAAATGTAGAACTCTTGAGGTTTCCAATGCTACCACTTAAGGATGATGAGTCACTTTTCTTATCTTTTTTACTTAAGTTCATTTTCGAACCAAGATTTTTAGCAAACTTCTTTATGCTTTTACGTTTCTCAATGCTACCAATACTCATGAGACTGCCACCTACATTCTGCGCGATGCTAGACAAAGAGGACCTGTGTTTATCTTTCTTACTCAAATCAGTTAAGCTTCCTTCTTTAACAGTGAAAGCTATTTTGACTTCCAACTCGCCTCTAGGTTTATCATTTTCCTTTCCAGATTTTCCCTGCAAGGTGTACCAACGGCTTCTTGGCCGCTCGTAAACATCGAGGTCTTTTAACGGAATCGATACTTGACCTAGTAAATGGTCTTTTAATAGATCTTCGTCGTACACCTTTAAAACAATCTCAGCTGTATTTCCCTGCGTAGGTATACGTAATTCACATTCTTCTACCCATTCGACATTCTGGGTTGCTTTGTGTTTGACGGAAGTTTGGAATTTATCTTTACCGAGAGCGATTGTAACAAAACAGTTATTTGCACCATTTTTACCTTTTATCAAAAGTCCACGAGCCCTTTGTATAGTAACTTGAACATGAGTTGGATCCCACATCTTGGTATGAAGATTTAGATCACTACACTCCTAGCAAATGTTTAAAAACTTTTAAATTATCATCGAAAACAACGCAACGATGAGCTGTCGACCGTCACTTTAGCTAGCTCATTTACTTTTTAATTTCCGCGACGTTTCGTTTACCTTCTGAATGTAGACACAGGTAAAGGTATAATTTTTTACAGCCTAAGTAGTTTTTAATTGGATTTCAATAATTAAATTATAAACAAATTGTTTCTAGTCTAAGCAATATACAAGAAACTTAATTTTAAGCTTAAATTTTCTTTTATTGGCGTGGTGAGTAATATCATTTTAATTTCAATAATAAGTTTTCCGATTTGCACTTTAGTTCCAATGTCAGAATCTAGATGTCACTATGATAGCAACTCGCATTAGCGATTCGCGAATAAATAAATATTGAGATAAATAATATGATCTGAAAATAATCTTTAGAAATTAAAATACGTATCCTTTTCTGGAGACATTTTAGTGGCAGAAAGAAAAAGAGCGAATTATGTTGCAATTATAGGTAACGGTAAAACGGGGTGGATAGAATTCGAGGGGTGAATAAAAACGGAAGAGGGGTGAATAGATACTAGGAAAATTCGGCAACATCTATTCACCCCTTTCGTGTATCCATTCACCCCTCAACATCTATTCACCCCGTTTTACGGTACGTATTCAGAAAAATAAAATAAATATTTGTTTCGTAACATTATCTTAGGAACAGAAAAACAAATCGATTTGATCATAATCTAGGCAAAATTTTATTGTGGAATAAAATACTAAACGTAGTGCTTATATTCTCTTTGTCGAATAAGTGCATTGCCGCCACAATTAAAAAAAATGGTTGATAAATTAAAATAAAACTTGGATCGAACTAGAAACCATTAGGCACAGAGAATACCTATAGGTAAGCACTACGTTTACCATTAGGTAAATAACAAGTAACTGTAATAGGATGAACTTCAAGTGAAGAAAATCCGAAATAATATTCCGACTCCGTATAAGTACTTAGGTAGGTAGGCATATGTTTAATTTTTTATGATTAAAATAAGTAGGTCTAAAGAAGAAATAGTTAC